AGTGGTTATATGAAATGCATTTAATCATTTCACTGAGCAAACTCAATGCATGTATTTCCACCCCACAATTATCACAATTATCATAACTGACATCGAGTCATACTCATTTTGAAAGTTTCAATAGACTCAATAAAGTGTTCAAAGATGGGCATAGGTTTAGAGTCTGAAATGCCCTTTCTTTCCTAGCAGTGATCTGTTCAGGTTGAGGAGTATAGAAATGAAGAGGTAAAACAAATAATACTAGGGGGATGGATTGAAAACTTTAGCCACCAATGAAATAATTATTTTGACCCAAACTACTTTAAAATGTCCCATAATATCTCCATATTATTATGTTGTATTCTAACATTTCTAGTAGCTGACATACTGGGAAAGAATATCAATAACTCTTTTCTTTTCCTATTTGTTCTATATAGGAACCTCAAATTGACAGTTTTTCAGAGTCTGGCTATAAACCCCACCACATTAGAGGGAATTTGGAATTCTGCAATGTCTACTTCAATTATCCCGCTAGGCCAGATGTTAAGGTACTGTGAGCAACGTTGGTATGTGTTTCAATTAAAGGTAAATTAGGAATTTGTTACAAGTTGCACTTTGAGCTATGCACCCGTCTGGTCTCATATAGGTGCTCTCTAGCGACTTTAGAGTGAACGCCCGGTTCTGGCCATGGGGTGTGTCCCCGGGACTTGTGCGTTGGGCTGTATTCACCCCCAAGAGAGGCCCCGACACTCATCTGCCATGACTTGATCTTCTTTTCTTCAGTGGTGGGACTCCCCTTTGTGGAATCTCACAAACTGGGTGCTGCCCTTTGTGGGCGTTGTTGGGGCTCCATCTCCCCTACACCCTAGCCATACACCAGCCCTCAGGACAACTGGATGATGGACCACTGGCCTGTCTCCTTGGTGTTCCCTCCTGCTCTCGTCCCTTCTTGCCTGTCCTTCGAAGTCTCTTTGCCCCAGGTGACTACGGGGCGTGGGACTGTTCTTGTCTCAGCATCTGCTCTTCCCCTTTGAGATGTCATGGTCCACATGTTGACTCCATTCTTCTTCTTGACCCTGCGGGTCAGTTGGGGATGTCTTCCCCAGTTCGGGCTCTGTGTGCCCTTCAAAGTGATAAAATAAAAGAAAAGAGAAGAAAAGAACAGTAGGGGTTCGGGCTTCAGCTCACCCCACTCACAGATCTGGCATCTGTGGCCCTCAGGATCCCTCAACACCATCCTCCTTGACCAGCTGCCCTGCCGAGCTGGGTATGTATTCCTCTTAGGGGAGCTGGGACCCTTCCTGTGGGTCCTCGTCTGGCCCCCTGCTGAGCTGACGATCCTGCCGCTGTGCAGCAAGAGGAGTAGCTTCACCTCCTGCCTCCAGTGTGGCTGCCTCCCTCTCTGTTTCCCCACTGCCAGCTTTTAAATCATCCGGGCGGCGGTTTTTGATGATGTCATCTGTCAGCGCCACTCCCAGCCGCAAATCAAAGCAGCTGATGAACCGCGCTCTTCTCGGTGTGGCTTGGCTTTTGCTGCAAAAGGTAAGTGAGCCTCCTCTATAGGGCTTTTTGTTTTTTTCTTCAGGCAGCTCAGCCCTGCCTTGAGTCCTGCCATGGGAGGGTGTTCCAGGACCTCCGTTTGTGTCTCCTTGGGACAAGCTACTCACATGTCAATTGGTATTAGTGCTATCTTGGGTTTGGGGCAGTCACACCTTAAGGCTAAAAACTTTCTCTGACTGTCCCCTACCTGCACATCTATGACTTGCCACTAGAAGGGTGGTGAGCAGTGGCCAGATTAAGAGCTACAGCTGTGATTTGCCACTATAGGGCTGGTGAGCCAGGACAGGTTTCAATCCCTGCTCTGGAAGGTCGGGGGAGAGATGGGTTGGGGGCTAGGGGGCAGGAACAATGCTGGGAGGTGGAGAGTTAATTGGATGGGGTTGAGTAATGAAATGATTGTTTGAGATCTTTTATAATCCCATGTCATTAATGCAATTAAATTACTTTAATGATTTTGAGCATACATTTATTAAGAGTATCTTGTCCTGTATAATTGCTTGCTTTTCCAGTTTGATGAAGGACCATTAATCCATCAACGGGGATCTATCCCCCTATTATTTGGGCAGGTTAGGAAGGCAAAGGAAAAAAGGCTTCCTTTTTTGCCAATGTGCTTGGAGAAAATTTTGGGTAGCCAATTAAGGGGAACTCAGTCAAGTGCTGAGTATTACATATATTAAAGGAAAGTAAAAACAGATGAGCAGGACAGAGAGCAGAGAACCGTAATATAAATTAAAGAAACCATGATTGCTTGACTGCTATCTTGCCTCTACTGCAAAAGAAGTGAGGCTAAAGAAGGGTGTGGGGACAAGCTGTAATAATTGCAGCTTGTGTAGATATACCCAGGTTAGCTTTACACAAGTTAGCAGCTTCAGTACTATTAACGGAATAGTTGTAGCAACACAGAATGCAATGCAAAACCCACTGGAGAAGGCAGTTAATATTTGGGTGGTTCTCCTGCTCTGAACTCAGTGTTCCTTGTCTACATTTTTAGTAGTACTCCAGCCAGCTAGTTTAAAATGGCAATGGTGTTGACATAATGGACTTAGCACCCTGTCTCCTCAGCAGATTTATTACTTGCCCACAGTCCATACTTTTTGTCCCCTACACAATTTTAATAAGGAAGCATCATTTAGGAAGACATAGATTTCTTATGGACAAAGGGCCAGATCCAAAGCCCACTGAAGGTAATGGAACTCTTTCCATTAATTTCCATAGTTTCCAGGCTAGCCACCTATTTGTTAACTTTACTGGAACCCAGATTTTGCCTGTGTGTGTGCTGGTATGTTGAAGCATAACAACATTTCTTGCGAAAACTTGCAGGATAAAGGCCTTTCATAGAATCATAGAAAATGATTCTAACCTTGTGATATAGCTTAAGGGTTTAGGCGGGTTTTGTTAGTATGTTCTTATTTATTTGCAAACATTTTGAACCTTTCATTTCTTCTTAATTTTGATCTCATTAACCTTAGTAGCTTGAGTAACTTCATTTTATTCACTATGAGTTTGTCTAAAACACAGGGCTGAACATGCCTTGCCTGCCCAAGCCATCTGTCACACTCTAGTACCAGGAGTTCAATGATGAGACTGCTCTGGGCTCATTCCCAGCACCTACTCTTAAGCCCTTGGTCTCTGGTATGCCTGGGGGTGATCCTGGAGCAGCCAGAAGTAGAGAATTTCCAGCTCTGGTGTGCCTCAGTGAGCTCTGAGGGCAGGGTGTGCTCAGGTTTTCTCTTGCCCCTACCCTGGTAAAGGATATGTTGAGTAGCTTGAAATTATTACTTTTGCTTTTTCCCTGTTTTTCTGAAACAAAAGACTTAGTAGTAAAATAATATTTTAAAGAGAATATCCAACTGTACTCTCTCCTCCTAAATCAGGAGCAAGAAACAACAATTTCTATTAATTCTGTGGCTAAATAAATTAAACTTTGCACAGTTAACAAACACCTATGAGTTATTTTAAGCTGGCTTTAACTGGTTGAGGTGGATGTAGATTCATTTTTTTATTTAACAATTCATATTTTTGGAGAAACAAGAATCTGTTTAAAGGCAATTCATATTTCTGGAGAAACAAGAATCTGTTTAAAGGCAATATAGTGCCTTTAAGAAATGGCACTGTCTGTGAAATTTCATAGACTTATAGAATCAGAGGACCAGAAGGGACCTGGAAGATCATCAAGTCCGGTCCCCTGCCATGGGCAGGAGGTTATTGGACTCAAAGGAGCTCAATGAGGTGGTTATCCAGCCTCCTTTTAAACACCTCCAAGGATGGTGACTGCACCACCTGTATTGGGAGTGTGTTCCAGATTCTAGTTACCCTTATGGAAAAGAAGTTTTTCCTTATAGCCAGCCAAAATTTTTCTTCGATTAGCTTGTGCCCATTGGTCCTCGTCTTCCCAAGAGGTGCCTCCCTGAATAGTTGCTCCCCTAGATCTTGGTGCTCATTCCTGACATACTTGATTACTTTTCTCTGAGGCTCTACTGTGTGTCATTCTTATTGTGAAATATTCTAACATTATGTGTGTGTATTTGTGTGTGTGAGAGCAAAGGCTCACACACCAAGAGCAAAAACTCACAAAAATTGTTTTCCATTGTAACAGGAAAAGGCATAATTAGCACAAGATCCCATCCATTCTATTTCAGCATAGGTTTCCAAAATCTTTTTTCAATGCCTTCAATTGGAGGGAATCCTGACAGCTACAAGGGCCCTTCTATAGGCCCTGATTTTCCTCCTAGCCCAGAGTAGCCAGCAGCAAAACTAGGTTTCTTCTTTTCTTCTACCGCTCTAAAGTTTAACAGTATCTCATCTTTTACATTTCTTTGAGGTTGTGCAAAGGGAGCCCAAAAGATAAATTCACCAAGGCATTCCAAACTTCTCTCCTACTGTAATTGTGAAATATTTCATTCCACAAGAATTAGCAGTGAACGTTCCAAATGTAAAGCCCCACTCTAAACCCATGCCTTTGCTTGTAAAATTCTATTAAAAATATCATACATCTTCACTGGTTAAAAATTTTCAGTAAAATTTACTAGTAAGACATTGGAAGCACCCTTATTCCCCTTCTTTTTTATCTGTGGCATAATGCAGTATGTGCTTGGCTTCATTACATAGGTTGCTTTGTGGCCATGATATATGAAAGAAATGATTTTTAGAACTCTAATTAAAGAGTTGTGGATAAATGGGTTCCACTGTAACTGACTATCCCCATGACTTGCATGGTAAATGCACATGGAAGGAATATGGCTAAGAAAAGTGGGGGTACAAAGTAATATGTTTATGTTTCAGTGTTTAATTAGAAAATTTAAATTCTCCCCATGATGTAAAGAGTTGACCATACTGTGAAATTTAGAGATATCAGATCAAATTCTGCTGTACGTTTGGAGAAATTCCACTAAAGGCACTGAATGTTTCCAGGTTTACGCTAATATAAATGAGAAATTGGCATGTTGGGTTTTTTTTTTATTATTGTTCAAATTTTCTTATGTAGGTACTGAAAGGCTTGAATCTGAAGGTTAACTGTGACCAGACAGTAGCCCTGGTTGGTGGTAGTGGCTGTGGGAAAAGTACAACTGTTCAACTGATACAGAGATTTTATGACCCTGTGGAGGGCACGGTAAGACACAGAACCTGAGCTGGATGATGTATAGATCATATTTCTTTAATGTTTACTAGTGTCCTGAGTGATATTGTTCAGCTGCTAAAATGCAAATATCTTCATAAAGATTGCAAGTGCTAATTCTGATACCACAATTCTTGATTGGACCACTTAGATACCTGTTTTTATTTTCTTCATTTTTAGATTACCCTTGATGGGCAAGATATTAGGAACCTAAATGTAAGATATCTGAGGGAGATTATAGGTGTAGTGAATCAGGAGCCTATACTATTTGCTACTACTATTGCAGAAAATATCCGTTATGGCTGTGAAGATGTCAACATGGAAGAGATTGAGAAAGCTGCTAAGGACGCCAATGCTTATGACTTTATCATGAAGCTACCTGATGTAAGCAAATTCTTTCATAATAAATGCCAGGCAGTGTTTTTTAGAAGAGTTGCCACAGCTCAGTGGTTTAGAACCAGCTAATCCAAGACCTATAAATCTAAACCTAGTTGGATCTTTCTAATACCTTGTTTGAGATATGGTAAAATCAAAGTTGTTTTAAGACTTCAAGTCATAGCTTGAATTCTTCACATTAATAATTATTAGAATCCTGCACATCCAAATAAGAAGATTACCTACTTTGGTCATTTATGAAACTCTCTAGTTGTTGTTGTTTTAGAAAAAGGAAAGAATTCTGTATACTGCACATGGAGATGTGATTTATCTTTACATTGTGCTTGATTGGTGTTGTGAATTAAGTGTGTCATTAACAGTTCTGGGAACATATTTTACTATCTTGCAGAAGTTTGAAACCATGGTTGGGGAAAGAGGAGCACAACTAAGTGGGGGTCAGAAACAGAGAATAGCAATTGCACGAGCTCTGGTTCGCAATCCCAAGATTCTTCTGCTTGATGAGGCAACATCAGCTTTGGATACTCAAAGTGAATCAGTTGTGCAAGCAGCACTGGACAAGGTCTGCATGGCTTTAAACCAAAAAAGAATGACCAGAAAACTAGTAGTTAAACTTTCAAAAGTTGTGCCAACAGGTGTGAGACAGATTAAATTTATCTTAGAAGTTTTATTCTAATTTGTATGAGAAGATTTCATTTGTTATTCATGTGGTGAAATGAAATACTTCCAAATATTAATATCCTTAAAAATACAGTTTGAGATCACAAGCAACATTATTCTCTAGACTGTCGAGGGATAACAATTAAAACATGTGGAAGTGATTTAGAAATCTGTATCCCATTTTGAAATGATGTTCCATGGAAAGCTAACTGGTGTGTCTACATCAGGCAAAAGATAAGAAATGACTATACAGACGATGACTTGTATTAGACTCATCTACTCTCTGTCCTTTTGCAGTTGCACCTGTTGCTTCTTTGCAACATGCAGCAAACTTTCTTTTCCTGGTTTATAGAGACTGACCTATATAGACAACTGCATCTCATCTTTGAGATGTTGAAAGTTTTTCAGAGAAAGATGAGGTGAGAATAAAGCATTACAAATTACCTCTGAAAGGTTATTATGAGTCAAGCTTCCATAGGGTAAATGCCATCCCTTATATTAAATGTGTATATTTCCCATGCAACTATATTAGCCCTGTACTTGATCAACATAGTCTGAAAGGTAATAGGCAGGGGAAGAAATGTCTGCATTCCATAAATGGTTAAACATATTGTCATGCAGTGTCTATACAAACAGTACCTCTGAGAGGCATTTCCCCCTGATCAGAGAATCAGAGAATCATAGAAAATTAGGGTTGTAAGGGACCTCAGAAGGTCATCTAGTCCACCCCCCTGCTCAAAGCAGGACCCTCCCCAGTTATATCAATCTAGCCATGCCTTTTTCAAGCCAGGTCTTTAAAAACCTCCAAGGATGGAGATTCTACCACCTGTCTAGTAACCCGTTCCAGTGCTTCACCACCCTCCTAGTAAGAGAGTTTTTCCTAATATCCAACCTAAACCTCCCTTGCTGCAACTTGAGACCACTGCTTCTTCTACTGTCATCTGTCACCACTAAAAACAGTCTAACTCTATCCTCTTTGTAACTACCCTTCCAGTAGTTAAAGGCTGCTATCAAATCCACCCTCTTTTCTTCTGCCGATTTAAATAGGCCCAGTTCCCTCAGCCTCTCCTCAGAAGTCGTGTGCCCCAGCCCCTGAACAATTTTCACTGCCCTCTGCTGGGTTCTCTCTAGCTTGTCCACATTCTTTCTATAGTGGGGGGCCCAAAACTGGACACAGTACTCCAGATGTGTCCTCACCAATACAGAATAGAGGGGAATAACTACTTCCCTTGATTTGCTGGCAATGCTCCTACTGCTTCATCCCAGTATGCTGCTAGCTTCCTTGAGTGCTTGTACATGTGATAATGTCATGATGTACATGTGACAAAAATTTCCTTTTGTGTCACTTAATAGAGTCACACATTACATGTACGTGAGTTTTGGGGGTTTTAAATGAGTTTGCAATGTTGCAAATGGGAACATTGATGGCCCTGCACTCCATACACCATCCCTGCTGCCTTCTCTGGCTGCTAGCACACCCAGCTGCCCTCCTGCCATCTCTCTGCACTGCCCCAGGGACAAGCCAGCTCATTCCCAAGTGGACCCAGGAGTTCTGCTGGCTACAGGAGCCTACTGAAGGCAGAAGCGATGAGGGGCCCAATTCTTTTTTTCTGAGAAGCCTCCCTGTCTCTCCTGTGGCCAGGGGGTGAGCTGACAGATTAATGGCACAGATTAATAGCACCCTGGCCATGGCATAGGCAGGCAGACTCCGTCAAAAAAAAAAAGTATTGAGCGCTTTGCTGCTTCTGCCTTCAGCAGACACCTGTGGCCACCAGGACATAACATATATACAGCGCCAGAAAAAATAAAACCCACCATTTCAATTAAAAACTCACTGTTTCAATTTAGGAGGCATAGAATACAACCCTAAGGACTAAAACCCCATCACATGTACAAATGCGCCTTGGCAACAAGGGCATGCTGCTGATTCATATCCACTAGAACCCCCAGGTCCTTTTCTGCAGAGCTGCTGCTTAGCCAGTTGGTTCCAAGCTTGTAACAGTGCATGGGAGCTTTCTGTCCTAAGTGCAAGACTTTGCATTTGTCCTTGTTGAAACTCATGAGATTTCTATTGGCCCAATCCTCCAATTTGTCTGGGTCAGGGGTCAGCAACCCACAGCACGCATGCCAAGCATAGCATGTGAGGCCACTTTGCTCGGCACATCAAGTCCAGCCCCTGCTCGGGGTAGCTGCTGGAGCCCAGACTGCTCCCAGCAGGGCTTGCAGCATCCCAGCTGCCTGCTGGGAGCAGCCCGGGCTCTGTGGCTGGTAGCAGCTACCCAGAGCCTTGGCCGGCTGCAGCTGGGAGGCTCCAAACAGCTGTGCTGGGCTCTGGAGCCCTGGCATCAGCTCCATACCGGCACGTGCACCCACACATCGGAGAGGGCGGTCGGGGAGGGGCCTGAGGCAGTGCAGCCTCACTCTCTCCCCCACTCCCGGCACAGAGCTAGTGACTGGGCTCTGGAGTCTGGCGCAGCTGTTTGCAGCCTGCCCACTGCTTGCTGCAGCTGCCTGGAGCCCAGGCTAGCTACAAACAGCTGTGCCAGGCTCCAGAGCCCAGTCACCAGCTCTGTGCTGTGAGTGGGGGAGGGCCCAGGGCTGCACTGCCTCAGGTCCCTCCCCCACCGCCCTCTCTGATGCTCAGGTGCACGCGCCAGTACGGAGCTGATACCAGGGCTCTGGAGCCCGGCACAGCTGTTTGGAGTCTCGTGGCTGCAGCTGGCTCCAGCTCTGGGTAGCTAGTGCCAGCCGGGAGCCCAGGCTGGGGGGCAGCAGGGCTGGGGGGGCAAGGGCACATGCAGGGTGTCCTGCCATATACCCCCTACCCTCATTTTGTTTTTCTGGCATGCCGGCACTCCGGCACCTCCAAGTTAGGCATTGTGGGGGTTTTTAGCACTCTGACCAAAAAACATTGCCCACCCCTAGTCTAGGTCATTCTGAATTCTAGTTGAACCCTCCAGTGTATCTACTACATGCCCCCAGCTTGGTGTCATCTGTGAACATGCTGAAGATATTGAACAAACCCAGTCCCAAGACCAACCCCTTGGGCACTTTACTTAATACTGGCTGCCAACTAGTCATTGAGCTATTGATTACTACCTGTTGAACCTGGCAATCCGACAATCCATATATTACATCCACTGCTTTCCCCGCATCCACAGAGCCAGTCATTTCATCAAAGAAGGCAATCATGCTGGTCTGGCATAACTTTGACGAATCCATGGTGATTGTTCCTGATCACTTCTCCTACAAGTGCTTAGAAATTGATTCTTTGAGGATCTGCTCCATGATTTTTCTGGGGACCGAGGTGAGGCTGACTGGTCTGTAGTTCCCTGGATCCTCCTTCTTCCCTATCTTAAAGATGGGCACTATTTTTGCCCTTTTCCAATTGTCCAGGACCTTCCCCAATCGCCATGAGTTTTCAAAAATAATGGCCAGCGGCTCTGTAATCACATCAGCCAAGTCTTTCAGCACCCTTGGATACATTGCATCTGGCCCCATGGACTTGTGCACGTACAGCTTTTCTAAATAGTCCCTAACCTATTCTTTCAATGCTAAGTGCTGTTCACCTTCTCTCCAAACTGTGCTGCCTGGTG